TTCCGGGACTGTCAGGGGGAGGGCAGAGCATGCTACTTGGGATCAGTGCAGCGCACGCAGCCAGAGCCTAGAAGGTAGATGGGGAGGGAGGGCAGCCCGTTTCTCAGCACGGCCGTTAACAAGGGAGACCTTGATTCTTGGAAGGGGGGAAAACAAGCAAGGCAGCAGTGCATTAAATGCACTCGCCTGCAGCGGTGGGCCCATTCCTAGAGTACAACTGGTAACTGCCTCTAGGTCCCATCCATCTCAGCCAATGTTAGAGCTGCCTTTCTAGCTGACCAGTCCTTAAAGAAACAGTCGCACTAGGGCCGTGTACCCCATGGAACATCTGCCCCTTCCCACTGCTGAGCCTTTAGTGCCAGGCTGCCAGGTCTCAGAAAGGCCCATTGTTTTTTAAGTCCATCCCCATGGTAAATCCACAATACTTGGTGTCATGGGGGAAGCAGCCCCTGACAGGCAAAGAACCTTTCCCCATCCTTCAACAAAGAAGAGAAACAGAAGAGGCAGCTGGTAAGGGAAGGACACTCTTTGTACCAGGAACTAGATACACCATGGTAGTCGCACCATATCAGCCAGGCTTCCTGAACAACCCATTAGCCTTGGCAGCCCCAGCTACCCACAGCCCTTAATCACGAGCGCACTACATTGAAAAATAGTTGTCAAGGGGCATTCGGGCTTTACAGTAAGCCAAGTTTCTGAGGATCAGGAATCTGTGCTCTTCATCCAGTACCTGGGGCTATATGATCTTATATTGGCTCTGGCCTCTGCATTGAGCTCAGAGTGGGATTATGGGGAGAGAACCATGACAATCCCACCCACCCTCCATCTCCACAACATCAATTCTCCTCCCTCCCTGACCCTCAGGCCCGCTCACTCTTGCCAATTCAGACACCGCTCTTGCCAGCCTGGCCTGGATCTGCCAGCTTGGCTGCGAGACTCACCTCAGAGAGTCTCCTGCCTCCTTTGGAAATGCTGTTGACAGACGAGAGGTAGCGAGCCAGTCGGGGCTGCAGCCAGTTTCCCAAACGCAAGAGCAGCAGTAGTAAGAATATCTGCAGCTCTCCCTCCGGCGGCCAAAACCATCTTCGGGGTAGCGTCACTCCAAACCTGCTCCCAAGAGAGGCACGAGTCGCCATCCGAAGCCAGAAGTACAGGTACCGCAGCAGCAGCCACTCCAGGAGGTCCTGTCCCTCTTGCTGGAGGCCAGGCAACAGGCAAGAAAGGGGACAATGAGAATACGGGCATTTCTTTTGCTGCCATGCAGAATCTCCAAAGGTGGCCAGGCAAGAGACCCCACAAGTAGATCAGTCTTCCTGCAGGAGCCGGGGGATTCTAGCCCTTTATCAGAACAGGACAACTTGACAAAGCAGTGGGTAGGAGCCTCTCAACAGGTGCTATAATGAGAGCAGAATGGTATTTGCTCACTTACCCAATTAACGGGAAATCGGTATATTAAGAAGTGCAGTGTTGGCGAGAGGGTGGGTGTTGCAAAAGCTTCCCCACAGAGCTCTGCTTGGAATGGTCGGTGTTGGGCCCAGTCTGGCCCTCTCGGTTTTGTGGTGGGCAGTGTTAGAGGGGTCTCTACTCACCGCTGGGCGCCTCCTCGAGGCTACGTCTGAGGAACAGCTCTGCCCAGTCTAACGCCCCCTTCAGGCTCGTTCACGCTGACACCCCTTCTCAAGCTTCAGGAGTCATAGTGCTCCCTCTTTGCGGCTCGGCGCTCCAGCCAGGTCACTACAGTTTCCCTTTCTGGGGTAAAGTCTCACCAGACTGCCTGTCCAGGTATTGTTCCTGGCCGTCCTCTACCTCAGAGCTAGACCACTTCCCCAGTGGGCAGTAGGGGAACCTGGGCCCACCCACTACTCCAGGTTCCAGCTCAGGGACTCTCAAATCAGCAAAGACAGCACTATCCCGAACCTTGCTGCCATTTCCCTGAGCCTTTTCCTACTCCACCCCATCAGGGTTCTGCTCCACCACCTTTCTGGGTAAACCCCCTTCCTTCAGGGCCAGGATCCCAGGCTGCTTCTGTCCCCCTGGGGTTTCCTCCTTTTCCTTGCTAAGCTCAGAGAAAGACTACAAGCTTCTGCACTGCAGCCCTTTTCTGTCCTATCTTCCTGGCCTCATACCAGCCCCACCTGCTCCTGCTCAGCTGGGCTCCAGCCTCAATTAAGGATTGCTTATCAACCCTCATTCTCCCTCAGGTGTGGCCTGTCTGGCTAGTGTGGGGGTGAACACCCCATCACCGGCAGAAATGCAAACCCAGTTTGTTCTCATGTCTGACTGGAAATGGGATTTGAAACTAGGCTCTAGAGGGAGAAGACCAGGATTCTCCCCCAGAACTGCATGAAATTCAGGTACTCTAAAGCCAATAGAACTAGGAACTAAAAGATCTAGGCAGCCATAGAGCAGTGTGGAGAAAGGACGATCTCAATCAAGCAGGGACTGCTTGGCATATGGGGTGAAAGACAAGGATGCCTATGAACTCTATGGTAAGGCCAGTGCGGATCCTGTCTCTCTCCCTGTACCATTGTTTATTATGTAACACTATAGTGTGTTTAGAGTAGGCCTGCACAACATGCAGCCCACATGGGCTCACTGTGTGGCCCGCGAGGGTTGAGTAGATGGGCTCACTGTGCGGCCCGCGGGGAGGTGAGTAGGCGAGCGGCGGGTGAGAGAGGGGGACTGAGTAGGCGAGTGGGCGGGCAGTGGCATGGGGTAAGTAAGCAAGTCAGGAGGGGTGGGGAGCTGAGGAGGCCAGCGGGTGGGCAGTGGCGGGGGGAAAGGTGAGCCGGAGGAGTGGGGGGCTGAGGAGGCGAGTGAGCAGGCAGTGGTGGGGTGGGGGGGATGTAGGCGAGCCAGGGGAGGGGGGCTGAGGAGGCGAATGGTGAGTTGGTGGCTGACCTGTTCTACTGATCTGGTCTGGCTCCCATCCCCTCTCCCAGGGCCGGCTCCAGGCACCAGCAAAACAAGCAGGGGTTTGGGGCGGCACATTTCTAGGGGCAGCATTCTGGCACCGGCCATCATAGGTGCCGACTCCGGGGCATGGGGAAAAAGTGCCCTTGCCGCCCCAGCTCGCCTCCGCTCCGCCTGCTCCCCTGAGCGCGCCGCCGCCGCTCCGCTTCTCCCTCCCAGGCTTGCCACATGCGAAACAACTGTTTCGTGCAGCAAGGCTGGGAGGGAGGAGAAGCCAATGGGTGGGGCGCTCGGGGGAGGCGGTGGAGCGGAGGTGAGCTGGAGCAGGGAGTGGTTCCTCAACCCCCCGTTACTTCCTGCACCCCCCCACCCTAGCTCACCTCTGCTCCGCCTGCTCCCCTGAACGCGCCGCTGCTCCGCCCTCCCTCGCCTGGTGGGGGGGGGGAGAAGCGGAGCGGCGGCACGCCCGGGGGAGCAGGTGGAGAGGAGGTGAGCTAGGGCGGGAGGTCACAGGGGGCCCGCAGGAAGCAATGGGGGGCGGGGGGGGAGAGAAATGCGGCACACCAGGGGAGGAGGCAGTGCTGGGGATTTGGGGAAGGGGTGGAGCCAGGCGCAGAGGGGCACGAAAAAGAAAGGGGAGGTGGCCAAAAATTTCTTTGCTTGGGGCGGCAAAAATCCTAGAGCTGGCCCTGTCCTCTCCAAGGGTTGCAGCTGTCTGGAGGTGCCTGCCTTCCACGCCTTCCTCATTCATTCAACAGGGCAACTGATTACAAAGCGGGGGGAAGATCTTATTCTACTTCTAGCAAAAAGACATTTTTCTTTTACCTTAATTATACTACCTTAGGGGCCCGCTATAACATATTACCGAGGTTCAATACTGCTGTTTTGGTGGGGTGGCGCTGGGGAAGGAGGGTTTGTTTCCACGGGGCAGGTGGCACGGGGGGCGTTTCAGAAGCACTGGGGGGGGGGTTGTTTCCGTGGGGCAGGCGGCGCTGGGTGTGTGTGTGTTGTGTTTCGGGGGGGCTGGGTGGTGCTGGGCGTGGGGGTTGGCGGCACTCGGGGGGTTTCGGCCCTCAGCTGTTTTCTTTGGAGTAATATGGCCCTCGCCGCTTTACGAGCTGTGCAGGCCTGGCTTAGAGATATAGTTGGGACAAAAGAAGAGGCACAAAGTAAAGCTGTATCGTCTAAGGCTTGGTCTACACTTAAAAGTTAGGCTGACAAAGTTATGTTAAAAAGAGAGAGATGAAAAAACCACACCCCACACCAATGTCGGTATGCTGTCCTAACCTCCACTGTAGATGCAGCTTGTTGCTGGAAGAACGCTTCTGTGAACACAGCTACCGCCCTTCGGGGAGCTGGAGTTCCTACACGGATGGAAAACTTTCGTCTGTGTAGGCTGCCTAGCACAGCCAGAACATACATGTGCCCTAAAAGGGAGCAGGGTGGAAGGCGGCAGGCCATGAAGAATCCAGATTCCAATGGTTTTAGGTTAAGTTCCACCAGTACAGTTTGGATGGAAAATACCTCACTCCCCTCCACCCACTGATTGCAACCTAGTCATGGTTGCATCTTGTTTCCAAGCAACTTGCCAAATGGAGAGGAAGGTGCCCACCGCGGCTACAGCGAGTTGGCATGGGGTTTCAGATCTCCACGTCTGGGGCGTGGGTAAGGGGGGAGGGTAACGGGGTGCCCTGTTCTAATCCCTGCAGAAGGAATTTTCTTAAAATAAAAGGCAGCATAAGAGGCCCAGCCAGCGAGACCACAGACAACCACATTACCCAGCATCCTCTCACTGCATCGTCATCTTGCGTGTAGGGAGTGCTGGGCCAGGTTCTTCCCGAACCTAAAGGCCACACTGGTGTGAGGGGCCTCAGATTCCCCCTCCAAGCCTTTTCTTCAAGGCCACCCTCCGTTCTTTCCCAGCACCCATGATCCACATCTAGCCCAGTTAACAGGGGAACAAGCTAGCGACAGAACTACAAAGACAGGGCGGGTTACATGCGCCCCTCTTCTGCTGCAGCCAGGTGAGGCGGTATTGCTTGAGTGTATGGGTGGTAAGACAGTAAGGCTAAGGCAGCATGCAGCCGTCTTTCTAAAAAGCTTTAATAGCAGCACAGCAGCTAAGAGTACAGCATATAAATCACCTGCAGCTATAATAGCCTGTCAGCATGGAGCTGTTCATTACATTCACTTAGTGGAGAGTGCCCTCTGCTGGCCCACCCTGTTTCCATGCAGGGAGCAGGAGCAGGAACCCCTCCCTGGTATCCTCGGAGGAAACAAACTTCAAGTGAAGGAAATTCCACAGCTGGGATTAAGAAATTCTTCAAGCATCAACATTAGATGAAAGGCCAGTTTACCAACTGCTCAAGCACTGATGTGAGAGCGGGGCACGGGCTGGGGATCAGAAGTGCTGGCTGCAGAACGAAGACATTCCTGCCGAGGATTGTGTAGCAGAAGATTTTAAGATTACATGAATTTTAAGATCCCAGCATCGAATAGCTGATCACACAGCACAAGCCGGTTCTCACGCAGCTCTGCCAATGCATGCCAGCCTTCACCTCCAGCCCCCCTGCTACTCCAGCCCTTGGGTCCCTCCTCCACCTGTGCCAATGTAGCCCAAGTCTGATCTTCAGCACTCCTGCTACTCAAACCCTAGCTCCCCCCCACCTCCCATCACTGGCAGTGCGCCTGACTTGCAGCACCTACACTGCAGCACTAGGGCAGCTCTGTCTCCCTAAACCCCCAAACAAACCTCTCTGCCAGCAGCCATAGAGCTCAATACTGCAAGGCGCTGAGTGCCCCCTGGGAGCCGCCGCGGTCTCACCTCTGACTGACTTCAGCGAGAGCTGCGGGTGCTGTACACAAAGAGAACAAAAACACTGCTCCTGCTCCAAAGAGATTACAATCTAAACAGATCAGAAACCTGCCTCCCCCAGTAGTCTCCGGAGCAGCACTGGAGAAGACTTAACTTCTGCCAGGAGGCGTGTGAGGGGGTGGCAACCACCCAGAGTGGCAGTGTCCACTTCACAGATCCAATTCATAGAGGAAGAGCAGCAAAATCTCAGTAAATCATTGAAGAGCCATCCCCTGCCCCCATGCTTGTTCCACTCACAGCCAGCGCTGTCCACTGTGTCATGAAGATGCAATCCCCACCATGCAACAGGCGCCTACCCACTGACCAGGAGCTCCCTAGAACTTACCACCTGACGTCTACCTGCTTGTTCTAGTCCCACAAAGGCGGGAGCCCTTTGAAGAGTCCCTAATGAGCCTCCTGGCCTTTTCCTGAGTGATTACAACCAATACAGAATCCAAATCATTGCTTCCATTGTGCAATTCCTGCTTGTTCACTTAGGTTGCCTAGTTTCCTTTGAATCTTCTCACAGTCTGTACCAAAGCGGCTGCTGAGAGGGGGCTGTGTTCACCTCAGTGTCACTGGCTGCTGCACGAGGCTGCTCTAAGGCTTGTAAAGCAGCGAGATGCACCATCTCTTTGCTGGAGAAACCTCAGTGCACAATACGCTATGGCTCAAGCTGAGCTGCTGAGGTGAGAGTCCAGGACCCTCGCCCCTGTGCCAAGGCAGGGAACAGAAGACAAAATACTGGGAACTAAGATTCAGTCACTTCTTCTCTCCCCACAGGGTAAAGCCACAAATGGAGAGACTCTCCCTGACTCTGCCCTAGAGGCTTGGGATTTACAGCTTAGACTGACCAGAGTCCACACACCTTGGCTACATTCGCTCAAACAGTAAATGGCCAGGCACTAGTGCGGGGGGGGGCCAATTGAGCTGTTCTAGCAGGTGATTCCTATTCCAGGGACAGTCCAAGCAGCAGCAACTACAACCAAACCAGAAAGCAACACCAGCTCTCAGGGCCACATGTTGTCTCTTTGGTATCTGCATGGCTTCCTGGGAGACTGCCTCCTCCCCCCCTCCCCCGCCAATATCACCCTTACAGAGTCAGGTGGCAGATTCTCATGGGCTCCACGTTCAGCTTGCCCTCGCTGAAGCAAGTGCTGAAGAAGGGGCAGAACCTGCGTGCGGCAGCCTGGTGGAAGGTGAAGAGGTGGGTCATGTCTTCGGCGTTGTAGAACGCCACCTTCCCCTCTTTGCAGTCCAGAAGGACCCCCACCTTCCGGAGACAGCTCCTTGGGGCAAGGCGCACCCACGGGGTGGCAGTGGCCCAATACTCCGTCCCGTTCCTCAGACGAAGTGCCCAGTAACCATTCTCAGGGCACAGCTTGACCTTGGCTGCCCGGTCCACGGACTCTGCTGCCACCCCCAGGTCCCACTTGGTCTTGCTGCCCACCCAGACCTCCCAGTAGTGGCTCCCGCTGTCCAAGGTCTCGGAGCCCAGCACATTCACACACTGCTGGAAGCGCTTGGGGCTGCTGCAGACAGGTTGGCGCCTGTTGCTCTCCGTCACTGCCGTCAGGTCTTTGGAGAGGATGAGGTTAGGGTGGGCTGATTCGGGGTCAAATGTCAGCGGGGCAGGAGCTGTAACAGAGTTAGAATTTGTCAGGGCTTTGCTCGATGTTTTTCAGTCTAGGCGACTTCCCCTCCCTAGGCGCTCCTCCTCTGGCCACCTCCCCACCCCCGAGGGCCCTGCGCTGCGTCACACTCACCAGGGTGGATTGACTGTAGCATTTGTCTCCAGAAGATGTATTGCAGGGGGCCGCTGTACCGGTCTCTGTGGCGCTCTATGTCCAGGGAGGGCTGTGCCTCCACATGCACTGGGGGCCTGGGCAAGCAAGGAGCAGGAGTGAGGCAGGGTCCAGACAAGGAGCCAGTTGTTTTTACAAAGCCATCAGTAAAAGCCCACAAGAAAAGAGGACTTGGACTGGGGGTGTTTTAGAAGTGAGGCCTTTGCGGGAGGCAAGGGACCAGAGCAAATGGACTTAGCGGGGCAGGGTACACAACAAAAGGTCAGGGGGGTGGTTACATCCTGCCAAGGAGATCAAACAGGAAGTCCCTCTGAGGGCAGAGCGATTAGTAGATACAGAGTAACCTCCGAGCTGAGACAGGCTGCTGTCCTGTCTCCCTGCTCCCCTACTGGCTGAAATGCCCTGGAGAAGGAAGGTGCAAGCCCCCCAGAAGCCTTGGGCCAAATTCAGCAGAGATGGACACGGTGTTGTGGCTGGTAAAGCAGAGCAACGTGCACTGGTTCACCATTCGGCAGGTATGCAAAATGAGCACGACTTACACACCACTGACCATGTTCTCAGCCCCACTCCGGCAGTGCAAAGCAGCCAGAATCAGCCGCCTGCTGCAGCAGCAGCTCCTCCCCCTCCCCCCAACCCCCAGTGCAGGGAATGGGGGAAAAGGGGCACAAATGCTCCTTTGGGGCCAGTGGCAGCTGGCACAATTTCAGACCTGCCAGAAGGTTGCTCTAAGTTGTGCCTTGGGGGTGAGCCTAGAGACCCCCAGGAGGCTCAAGTTCAATTTTGCACCTGCCCCCTCTCCTATGCCAAGCACTGAAAGGCTGGTCCCAAGGGGGCAGAGAGGAAAACAGTAAAATCAGCTAAACAGGATGTCCCGGATTCACAGGGTCATCTATGTCCCAGCCTGTACCCAGTCCCTTGGGAGTGATCCCTTTAGGGTGCCACAGGGGCAGCCCCGTGGCCTCCATGACTCTGACACTGGGTCTTCAGGAGCCAGCGATCCCTCTCTATGGCTTCCTGCAGCAAGTCCCATCAAGCCAGACTGCTGTGGGAGGCCTGTCCTTTACCCCTTCACGGTGCAATGCTCTTAGTGAGTATTTGCGGTGACACCAGGCAGCCTTTTCAAAACAAGGTGACAATTTATTCGTCTCCTGACCTCCAGAATCTGAAAGTCCTTGGGTCACCACAGGGAAGCAAAGGTTAAGCCAGAATTCAGACTGGCCAGTGCCAGGGCTCCCGTAGGCCATGTTGCTGTAGTAACCATCTTTTGCTTGCGCACTCTGTCTCTGCCCCCGGTGAGAGCCGCTGTGTCTCTGGGAGCTCAGCTCGTCACACAGCCACCTGACACCTTTCCCCTTGTTCTCCAGCTCGGGGGCCTTTGCTCTACTTCTTGGCAGAAAAGTGGGGGGAAATCATCCTTCCTCTGGGCCTTTGGTCACTGGGTGTGAATATCTCCATTGTCTGTTCCGGATCCTCCATTCACACATGTAGCCTCTATTCAGTTTGCTAATGACTCTGGTCTCCAGCCAAGTGGCTACCCGAGTCCAACACCTCATCCCTTCCCTTTGCAGTCAGTGTACAGCAGCATAAAACACAGAGACAACAGGGGCGTGCATAAAAATACAAACATTACCAATATTTCCATATTCATCACACACGGCCCTCCGGTTTAGCTTGTACACCCTGTTATTTGATGTAACAGTTCTCCACTTTTCCCTGAGGTGTAATTCATGCTCATTGTACGCACCCGCAACTCCGTTTCCCCACTTCCACTATAGCCCACGCTTCCATTGAATCTAGCCCCAGAAACCCAGCACTTCTACATGAGAGCATCTGATGCTTGCTGGGGAACGGATCCTTCTCCCCTCGCCTGGCTCCATGCCAATGGCCTGCTAGACAATTAGCAGTGCTTTAAAAACTAAAAAGATAACGCCTCTCTTCCCACTGTCCCCAGCCAAGGAGGGGAGATAAAAGCCTCATGAAAAGGGAAACAGCTTGTTTAATTCCAGACACGTACCTGATAGCCACGCTCTCCACCTGCAATGAAAGGCAGAGAAAATTAACAATCACCGTCCTTAATTTGTACAGCTGCACAAATAAATTAGCTACCCTCTTGCCTGCCACCACATTCGAACACAGAGACGATAAACACACCAGTCCAACTGGACCCCAACAGGGGATGGACGTTGTGTCTATAAACCAAGGTTGTTTTGGAGGGCTAGGGGCTGAGGAGGACGACTCTGAACACATCTAAGATGCCTCAGTCCAAGGGACTGAGAATAAGATCCAGAAGAGTGGGAGTGAGACACAAAATTGCAGCTGTGTCTCTAATAAAGAGTCAGTCTCAAGAGAGGTTTCACTCGCTCATGAACAGGCTCTCTCTCTCTCTCCCCTTCCCCTGTATACTTTCATTTGCCTGGTACGGTTTGGGACTGATTTCCTTCTGCTTAGAGGATTTTTTCAATGATTGAGATGGGAAGAAAGATTAAGCATGATTGCAGAGATGGGCTCCAAAGGATACAGCTGGCTCTGGGAACCTGAGGCAGGTAAAGACACGTGCTTTATTATTAAATACATTGAGCGTACCTTTACCTACCTGAAGCCACCAGAGCCTGCCTTCATTATCTGGGGCTCCTCACCCCTCTCCCAGTACAGGAGTCAACACCGCTTCTCACCCACCCCTGCACCTTGCCAGTCTGTTTTCAACCTGAGCTTCTGCAAAGACAACAGTGCCAAGGATTTACCCTTTCCCCTTCCATCTACTAACGTGGAGATCTTGCCATTCACAATGGGGAGGGGTGGGGGGCATGGCTGCCCATGGGGACAGGGGATGCAGGTGTGCTTTTGATCCCACTATCAAAGAGGAGCAAGTTGCCTGGGTGCTCCAGCTTTGCTTTCATGGCCCCGTTAATGCTTTCTCAGCAGCCCATCAGTGCTAGGGATCGGAGTGCCACTGAAGCACACTTTCCCAGCAGCGGCTGGCTCGCTCACTCACCCGCCTTGGGTGCCAGCTATTCACAGTTGCCTAGAGCAATGATGGATGGTGATTTCTTACAACAGGAGCCTTGGCAGCTCCAGCTCAGCAATGCTGCTCAGCGCTGCTCCTTTTGCCCAGCCCAGGGTCCCTACATGTCTCCCCAGTACAGACCACATCTTAGCAGAGAACTTGTCTCAGGAACCACCTCCTCCCCTCCCATCCACAATCACAAAACATCCTTGTGGCATACACGGAAAAGTAATTCGGGAAGTATTCAAACGTATTTTAATGTTCCTGTGATGTCATTTAGCAGATGGAAAGAGAGGGAGGAGGTCACCCCTTGACCAGACAGCTTTGCAGGGACCACAGCAAGAGCTCTAGACCACCCAGGATCTGTGGATCCCAATTCTGGACTGTAGATCCTGCCCTGCCTTGCTGCTTCCCTTTCAGATGTGTAAGCCTAGAGTCCTGGGCAGTCCTACAGCACAATAGAGTTGCTTCTGCTGCTCTCCAACTTCCCGATTCAGATTTTGAGCTCTCCCCACCATGTGTCAGCATCCTGCAAACATCCTTCGCCCTCCTCCCCAAGCCTCAACGCGTTAAGAGCTGGCTGAGCAATCTCACCTCCAGCAGTAATGAGTCTCCCGTCTTGTTCAGGATTTCCTGTATGTGCTCAATGTTCTTTCCCAGCTCTGAGATCCCCTCCTCCAGCTGCATGATGTCCCCACGCAGCCTCAACAATAACTGCTCCTCCTCTTTGGCCAGCTCCATCAACACAACTCTCTCCTTTTCCTCCAGGATTTGATGAAGTCGCTCAAATTCTGCCCGAATCTTAGAGTTCAGCTCCCCGGAGGCTTTCTGAGCAGAGGCAAATGCCATAAAAGAAGCAGTGAAAAGGGTTGCAGGTCGATTTCCTATAGGGTTTCAGAAATCTCCAAAACTACGGGGCAGAGGACGGGAGATAAAAATAAAAATGAAGGGCTTTTGATCCACAGGGGAGCAATGACTGGGGTACTTTTAAGCAGATACACACACCTGGTTTATATATATATGCATGCACCCCTCAAGAGGCGGTAGCTAGGTCAACGGAAGAATTATTCCATCGACCTAGATGCTTCTACAGTAGTGTGACGTTATTGATATAATCTGGGACCATATAGATCATTGTTGCAACCGAGGTCCTGTAGTGGCACCCAAATCTTGTGTAAAGGGGGTCAAATGGGGTGTCTAAGACAAGGTTATGGTTTACTAGATATGATTATGCTGTCTATATGTGTGTATCAATTTTGTAGTTGAAGTTAGGAATATTGGCTCTATACTGTCTGTATTTCAAACTTATGCTATGCTGCTGGGTGACATCCCAGACAAATTGGTGTTAGCTCTGCCTAGCCTGCTTGATGGCCCATTAAGGACCATCAGCTATACAATGGACCCATTGAGAGAAGGCAGATACGCCTTGTAACTCAGCAAGGTATGCAGGAACTGGCCCATGTGACTCCAGACTCCATTTTGCTGTAATTTTCCACAGTAAGGACAAAGAGGTGTTCTTACACCTGGAAAAGACTATATAAGGCTGATGCCTCATCTCCATCTCGTCTTCAATCCTGCTTCATACCCCTGGAAGAACTTTGCTACAAGCTGAAGCTTTGAACAAAGGACTGAGGACCCATCCCAGCGGGGGATGTATTCCAGAGACTTGATTTGAACCTGCAGTTTATTCTATCACTGCTGCAAGACTGAACCAAGAACTTTGCCATTACTGTATGTAATTGATTCCATTTAACCAATTCTAGCTCTCATCTCTATCTTTTTCCTTTTATGAATAAACCTTTAGATTTTAGATTCTAAAGGATTGGCAACAGCGTGATTTGTGGGTAAGATCTGATTTGTATATTGACCTGGGTCTGGGGCTTGTCCTTTGGGATCAGGAGAACCTTTTTCTTTTACTGGGGTTTTGGTTTTCATAACCATTTGTCCCCATAACGAGTGGCACTGGTGGTGATACTGGGAAACTGGAGTGTCTAAGGAGATTGCTTGTGAGACTTGCGGTTAGCCAGTGGGGTGAGACCGAAGTCCTCTTAGTCTGGCTGGTTTGGTTTGCCTTAGAGGTGGAAAAACCCCCAGCCTTGGGCTGTAACTGCCCTGTTTGAGCAATTTGTCCTGAGTTGGCACTCTCAGTTGGGTTCCGCCAGAACCGCATCGTCACAAGTAGGAATTAGGTTGACCTAACTAGGTTGCACAGGGTGCAAATTTTTTCACAGCCCTGAGCAATGTTGCTAGGTTGACCTTCATTTTAGGTATACAGCAGGCCTTATTCTACGCTGAGTGGCTCTTTGGATTAAGACTCAAAACGAGCAGTAGGTGGCAGGAGGAGGGACAGAACACAGCTGCCTTTGATTTCTCTAATTTAATACTCTTGCAATGTAATATAGCCAGAGAGAGGATAGAAGGGAAGTCTTCCCCCTGCCCTCCCTGCTAGAGGCACTGCTGGAACCCTGCTTTGGGACCATGTGGATGCCACTAAGGTCAGAAGTAAAGTCACTGAACTAAGCTTTTCAAATTACCTCTTTGAACTCAATTACCTTGTCCAAATTGCTTTGACAACAATCTGGGAGTAATAAGAACATAAGAATGGCCATACTGGGTCAGACCAAATGTCCATCTAGCCCAGTATCCCGTCTTCCGATAGTGTCCAATGCCAGGTGCCCCAGAGAGAATGAACAGAACAGGTTATCATCAAGTGATCCATCCCGTTGCCCATTCCCAGCTTCTGGCAAACAGAGGCTAGGGACATCATCCCTGCCCATCCTGGCTAATAGCCATTTATGGACCTATCCTCCATGAACTTATCTTGATTTTTTTTGAACCCTGTAATAGTCTTGGCCTTCACAACATCCTCTGGCAAGGAGTTCCACAGGTTGACCATGCGTTGTGTGAAAAACAAAAACAAAAAAAACACGTCCTTCTGTTTGTTTTAAACCTGCTGCCTATTAATCAACTTACACGTCTTAAATTCTAGACCTAGGTTAACATTTTCAAGAGGGCCTAAGTGATTTAGGAGCCTAAGTCCCAAAATTAAACTTGGAAAATGTGAGTTGGTCTCATAAGTCACTTTGGAGCCTCTGAAAATTTTATCCCTAGTCTGAGGTCCTGAGCCCCAGTGTGGCTCTGGGCTTCTGCATTTGAAATGGTAACTCAGACAGATGTGTGCGCTATCTCTGGGCAATTAATTCTACAGGTTAATTACGTGTCAGGTAAGACATTATTGCTTTTTGTCAGTTTTAAACATACTACCATTGAGCTTCACCGAACATGCACTTGTTCTTGTCTTACCAGAAGGGGTAAACGGATGCATTCTATTTACCTTCTCTATAGCATTTGGTATGCATCTCTCGCTATCCCCCAGCTCCTTTAAACAGCTCTATGTTTTCTGTCTCTCCTGGCCCCTAATTGTTTTCCTCGCTGGTCTCTGAACTCCCCTGCCCTTCTAGTTCTGCTATCTCTCTCTTCAGATGAGGTGACCAGAACTGAATGAAGTATTCCACATGAGAACACACTGTTGATTTATAACAGCATCACAATAGTCAGTATTATTCTTGCCCCCATTATTTGGTTTGTCTGCTGCAGCAGACTGAATGGCAGCTTTCATTGGGAGGTCCGTAATGAGCCTTGCAGCTTTTTCCCTGAGTAATTACAGCTAATTCAGAATCCAAATTATTGCTTCCATTGTGCAATTACGGCTACCTTGCATTTGTCAACACTGAATATCATCTGTCATCATGTGGCTTGTTCACATGGGTTGCCTAGGTTCCTTTGAAGCTCTTTCATCTCCTCTGATTTACATAATTTTATGTCAACCAGAGGCTTTGCTACCTCACTGTTCACCCCCTTTTCCAAACCGTTAACATATAAAACAGCACTGGTCCTAGCCTGGACCCTTCGGGCACCCCCACTGCTCATCTTTCACCATGGTGCAAATTCATCATTTGTTCCTACTCCTTTGCTGTCTGACTCTTAGCCAGTTTCTATTCACAGCAGTACTTTCCCTCTCACTCCATTATTATTTGTATTGTTCTAGCACCTAGGATCTCTAGTCACAAACCAGGATCCCATTGCACTAGGCATTGTACAAACACACAACAAAGATGGTTCCTGCACCAGAGAGCTTACAATCTATGTAACCATAACCACTTAGTTTTCTTGCTAGCCTCTTGGGAAGGCATTTGTCACAGGCTTTTGAAAGTTTGTATCAATTAGCCCTCCTTGGCTCATATTTTATTGACAAGCTCAAGAAATTCTAGCGGACTTGAAACACATCCCCTTTCAGCAGCTGTATTTGGTTTATTCCCATCATACCATATTATTCAAATGTTTATAACTATTTTGATTTACTGTCTCAACCAATAATGTCCCTGCTATTAAAATGAAGTTTACAATAACTCCTAGGCTCACCCTGGGAGTTAGACCAATGAAGTTAAGACATAGATACACTTGCTAGCCTCCAGGATAGAAGCTGATTTTAATGAGAGATTGCAGAGTTTTCTTAGCAGCTCAGCAATTTCATTCTCATATTCTTTCAGAGCTCTTGGGTGCAGCCATCCATTCCTAGTGACTTTTGCATTGAATTTCTCAATTGGTTCCAGCACCTTCTCTTGACACCTCAGTCTCTGAGAGCACCTCAGACCTACTCTTGTCAGGTAGTCAGTATCTCCCAAATATCCTCTGAGGTGAAGACGGATGGAAAGAAGAAATGTTCTGTTTCTGCCATGCCCATATCCTCTTTAATTGATTTAACAGACTTACTGAGACTCTTGCTGGCTTCCTGCTTCTGTTCAAATAAATTCTGTAAGTGTGTCTTATAATTTTGACCATTTGTTCTTCCAATGCCATCTCACCCTCCTAATTTCTTTCTTACATATCATCAACTGCTGTAGTTTATGTTCCCTTCTATCAGCTTCACTAGGAATGGATTTCCATTTTCTGAAGGATACCTGTTTGGGTTGGATAACTGGCTCAGCCCTGCCATTTAGCCATACTAGTTTATTTCTTGCCTTCCTGCTTCATTTTTAGTTTTGGTGTATTTATGCCCTTTGCAGTTTTGTTCTGTCAAGCTCAATACTAAATCCAAGAATTTTAATTTCCTTATTTCTGAAGGGCCTTCTTAGCCAGCTTCCTCAGATTTTTTCCTTTCTGAAGTTTAGCATCACTGTGCTACTTTTTGGTACCTTTTCTCTTCCAAAAGTTAAGTGTAATTATACTGCAGCCACTATTACTTTGGGGTTTATCTATAGTAATTTGGTGAGTCAGCCTGAGTCATAACGTTTAACTCAACTTTGAGAAAACTCAGAAAAGAATATTTGGGTTCCTAATGTTCTAAGAGTGAATCTGAACTATAGTGCATTTATAGGGACCATGTTATCTCTACAAATGACAGGAATATTTAAATTTGGTTATTAACCTAACTGCTCTGTCATGGAAACAGACCTGGGATCGGACTGATTTTGTGGTCACATCAGTGCTTTTGCAATTAAAAAAACAAAAACAAAACCCCCACAGTCTGGCAACTCTCCAGAACTAGCAACTGCTCATCAGCCTAGCCCAGATGTCATCTTTTATCATGCACTGAGCAATCTGAACCCTGTCTAAGCTTTGGTGCATCAATTTATCAGAATCCAGTAATTGCCTGTGTTAACAAGTACTTAATGCCTCTTTTCTGGAAACATTCTCTGAAAGTTAAGTGGGTAACGTCTTTCTGGTTTGTGTGTGACAAACTTCATTCAGGATCCGTAGGTAACTCTCATTTGGCTTCTGAAAAAAAACGTGTGTGTGTCTATATATACACATACATTTTATATATATATATAAAATCAGCAATCTTGACTAAAGCCACAAGAGCTAGACACACAGACACTGCTGATTGTCACCCAATGAGCTATTATACGCAACTATAAAGGTATGCCCCAAATTAAACTCTATCACGTGCCTTAGGGAAATCTGACAGATCCATTGGCTCAAGATGTAGCACTGCTGAGGAAAAGCTCTGATGTATTTTACTAAGGTTCAGGAGCCTTTAGCTGGCTTTGTACACTCCTCTGTAATTACCCTACGGCTATCTCTTTAAGCGCTGCAATTACAATTATTCTGCAAAGGCATCTCAGTAGATCGATCGTTACCTTGACTGAGGAGCTGTTTTTTGCTGCAACATTTTTACTTTGCTGGTTTTAATCTTTTGCCCATAGTCCAAAAAAGATACTTGGCATAAGACGACAGTGATGGTAGGTATCTGCTGTGAGCCTGCTTATTGGTCAGGTTGTTCAAGGCCCCAAATAACTCAGCTTTTGATAATATTCCATTTTTATTCTTTTCTCCAGGTAGAAGAGCTCCGATTATATCCTGCCTGATCCTTACTCATCCTGCAGGCAAGCTTGTAGCAGCAGCAGTGTGAAGGGTAGGGCCAGTATATTAGTACCAGGAGGCATGAGCCAGAATGACATCGTTCTCCCACTACGAGAAAGGGATCAAGAGACCTTCTCCGTTGGATCATATGAAATGGAACCATAAACTCCCTGAACATTAAATCTCACCAAATGAGGGTCAATCCATCCTCATTATCATATCCACTCATTATACTCCACACCCGAACATAGCCACTCTATGAACTTCATACCCTCATATCTCAATGCCTGTCCTTTGACCCATCAACCTTTTACCCCCAATCGGGGATATTGCAGATTATGTATTCCTTATGCCCACCCGACCTTAAACCAAACTTTGCACCCTCGATAATCTGTACAGTATTCCCTGATAACCAGAAACTTCTATACTCAAACTCTGATCACTTTTTTTTTTTTTTTTAAACATCATCTTAATAAAATTTTTAAATCTGTTCTTACAGGGGGCTCTTGGGTGTGCACCACCTCTACCAGTCTTCCCTTATCCAAGTGAATGGCATTGCCACAGAGCCTACACGAGTGTAGCTGGGAGAACTGGCATTACCGTTAGACTGCAAATATCCTCCTCTGCTGTGTGCTTCATTCGCACAAAGTTCTCCATCTCTCTCTGGTGAGCTCGCAGCGCATTTTCAAGATGTTTCTAAGAATGAAAAATAAAAGGAGACCATTTCACTACTCTGCTGTTTTACATAAGAATGGCCATACTGGGTCAGACCAAAGGTCCATCTAGCCCAGTATCCTGTCTTCCGACAGTGGCCAATGCAAGGTGCTTCAGAGGGAATGAGCACAACAGTTAATCATCAAGTGATCCATCCCTTGTTGCCCATTCCCAGATTCTGGCAAACAGAGCCTAGGGACATCATCCCTGCCGATCCTGGCTAATATCCTCTATGAACTTATCTAGATCTTTTTTGAACCCTGTTATAGTCTTGGCCTTCACAACATCCTCTGGCAAGGAGTTCCACAAGTTGACTGTGTGTTATATGAAAAAAATACTTCCGTTTGTTTTAAACCTGCTGCCTATTAATTTCATTTGGTGACCCCTAGTTCTTGTGTTATGAGAAGGAGTAAATAACACTTCCTTATTTACTTTCTCCACACCAGTCATGATTTTATAGACCTCTATCATCTCCCCCCTTAGTCGTCTCTTTTCCAAGCTGAAAAGTCTCAGTCTTATTAATTTCTCCTGATACGGAAGCCGTTCCATACCCCTAATCATTTTTATTGCTCTTTTCTGAACCTTTTCCAATTCCAATACATCTTTTTTGAGATGGGGTGACCACATCTGCACGCAATATTCAAGATGTGGGCGTACCATGGATTTATAGCGGAGCAGCCTACATGTACGGCACTGACTCTAGAAGGGCAAGCAGCAGCTGTTTAAATCCAAGATTCCCCATAAGGCAAAAACAATCAACCAACCAACCTGAGGTGTATGTTCACGAGCTAAGCTGACTTTTTACACACACGTGAATCCAGTGGGTTGGGGAAAACTCCAGACTCAGCATACATAAGAGCTGGGGATACAAGTCTGCATGGGGTTTAACATTTGTTTGTTTTGAACTCTCTGGGGCAAGGAGTCTCTTATCACTTGTTTGTACAGCACCTAACATAATGGATCCCTAATCCTGGATTGGGGCCCCCTACATGTTACAAACAATAAACATGTGATCAATGTCACAAGGCAGCAACACGTGAGCAATGCAAGAGAAGCAACAGCACAAAAGCTAAACTACAGACTGCAACTTGCCAGGCGCTAGAGAGAGGAATAGGGAACCAGTCAGTGAGAGAAGCAGAGAGAGTCTTCATTGTGCTCTGCCCAGGTGAAGGATGCGTATGTGGTTTTATGGTTGAACGAACCTGCCTCAGAGAAGTGGGTGGGTAAGAGACACGTCAGATATCTGCTCTACGCTGTGCTGAGGCATGTGTGTCTGCCTCAGATTTTACTATGACTGATGCCTTCTAAATAAGCATGCCAACAGCCACTCACCTGCATTTTTCTCTTGTGGTCCTCTGAGCTGCACTTCCGCACCTTCTCCACCACCCCAGACACCAGATAGTGGGGGCGAAAGGTGCGGCTGGAGAACTCCCTTCGGCACTGGGGGCAGGAAGCCACACGGGGGCACCTGGCCCAGTAGCCTTGGATGCACGCCCTGCAGAAATGGTGCATGCATTCCAGCATGACAGGGTCACTGAAAAGCTCATAGCAGATGGCACAGGTCAGCTCTTCCTTCAGACTCTGCTCCGCACTCGGGCCAGCCATTCCTATGCACACACACAGCGCGCGCCTGGATCTCACATAGGGGTCAGAATGAAATAAACATCCAGCCCCCCTTCTCCCCCACCCACATACTCTGGTCATCTGACACTCTTTCCACACAGTACTTTGGCCACACATCAGCAGGCCAGTTGGTTAGAGGGTTTATTGCCAGAACTCTGTGTTACAGCACAAGTGCCCAGAGACCACGAATGGGCCCCGTGATCTGCAAACTCTCTGTGCACTGTCCTCTCTACGGGTTTCTAAAGAAACATGTTTAAGTTTACTGCAGTGCAGTGAACTCCAGGCAAGGGATCTTTCCCTTTAAGCTGGGCTGAGTCAGTTACTTTCACTTCCCTTAACTTCAGCAACAATTCCCAGAGGCTTCTTTGGGTAATTAACCCCATGGCCCTAACACAAGCTGGGAGTAGGAGATGCAACCCCGAGTCCAGGGAGGCCCTCTTCCAGCTGTGTAGGGTGCACTCCTTATTTCCAGTTAGGGAAAGGAAAGGGCTCACCAACAGAAACCACAGGGATGGAAAATATCCACCTCTCCTACACTTTGCACAGCTAGCTCCTGGCATCCCCTCCACCACTGTGCCTAAAGTCTTGCACACCCCTGCCCTGCCACAGCTACCCCCTGAACAGCCCCTGACCCCTTAATTCCCCCAGCTG